AACCATAGTAGAGCCTCTATAAGTATTTTCACCTATCTTTTAGGATTTTCAATACAGTAATGCAGTCAACAATTTGAAGTCAAGCTATACAAGATGTTTCTTTTTTGCCTATAAAAGTGGTAATGTGGTTTGTTTCTATCAAATGTCACAGTTTCCTCCTAAAATGTCTCATTTTATTCAGTCAGCTTATAAACATTATTCAAATGCTATTGAAAGTGATTGTCCTACAATTTAAAAAGTTTTGTAACCTTGGGATGGTATTTTACCTTCCAGGGCCTTGGTTTCCTTATATGCAAAATGGAGATTGGGCTCAGTTGGTTTCAATGGCCTCTTCCAGCAACAACTGTCTATGATTCTGCGATATAGGAATTTAAAGTCTTTTTAGACTCCAATAATGTTGATCAAAATACAGGCTATCTTCTTAAAATTATATGAATTTACTTTGAATAAGAATGCTCATAATTATCTTTATGTACACTATGGATTAATGTTGCAAATTCAACTTCTGTTTCCACTATTTTTTAACTAGGCATATGGAATATAATTTGTAGCAATGTTTAAATATATATGTCTTGGATCAGTTAAATGCTAGGCCCCTTACTTATGAAAGCACTACACAACTCCTATTTTCACTTGTTAATTAAATATTAAAATTGGCAAATGGTTCATAAGCCAATTGCAATGTCAACATAGGCATTGTCAATTATGTTGCATCTAACTTGGATTTATAGGCCCAATTTTAATAACAACACTGTTATAAGTGCTAAAGCACAAAACTTATTGCCATGAATAACACACACAGGATATGACTATGCAAAAATATTAAAAATAAAGTCAATATTATATTAATAACTTTTCTTAAGAATGTCTAAATCATGGGCAGCAAAACTTTAAAATGATTTTATAAGTACATTTATTACTTAAGTTACAATACAACATTGTGTGTGTATATATATGTGTGTGTGTGTATATATATCTATATAGCATGGAAGAGTGAAAATATAGATCTGTCAAAGAAAATATCAATATTTATACTGTTCATATTAAAATATTCAAAGTCTGCTTCCAGTATTGCTGAGCAAGCTTCTACTGGACTCACCCAACAGTCAGATTCCAGATCAAAGTACAAGGATGGGAAGATGGCTATGGCATGCGATAATTTCCTTTTTAAAAAATAGCTCTTGTTTCATTAAATAGAAAATATAAAAAGAGATAGAAATTATTTTTTAAAAAATGAACTAAACAGAAATTCTGGGGTTGAAATGTATAATAACTGAAATAGAAAAATTCAGTAAACATGCTTAACAGTAGAGTCAAGAAGAAGGCATCAGAAAACTTGAAGATAGATTGATAGAGAAAAGAATAATGAAGGAAAATGAACAGAGCCTCAGAAAATTATACCAACATATGAATAATGCTAGCAGCAGACAGAGAGGCAAGAAGGGAGCAGGAATAAAAAATCCAAAGATATAATGGCTGAAAACTTCTCAAATGTAATGAAAAGCATCAATCTACATATCCAATGTCAAGGAAATTCAAGTAGGATAAAGCACAAAGTTATCCAAACCTAGAAACATTTATAGGAAAAATGCTGAGAGACAAAGAGAAGATTTTAAAAGCAGCAAGAGAATAACAACTCATCATGTACAAGGGAACCCCAATAAGATTAACAACTTACTAATCTAAAGAATTGGTTGAAGACAGAGGGCAATGGTATTACATATTCAAAGTGTTGAAAGGGGACTGTCAAACAAGATTCTTGTATTCAGCAAAACTCTTTCAGGAATGAAGATGAAATAAATTATTCTGGAAACAAAAACACAGAACTTTTTGCTAGCAGACCCACTTCGCAAGAAAAAATAAAATAAGTTATTCAGACTAAAAGCAAGTAAGCATATATAGTAATCCATATCCACACATAAAAAAACAAAGAGCACTAATAAAGATAATTATATAATTAGAAAATACATCATAAATGCATATTTATATTTATACTGAAAATTAATATTCTAAAATGTTGAAGGATTTCAGTGGTCACTGGCAGATTACAATTTATACTTTATTATTTGATTTGACTCATTATCCTTGGTTAATTATTGCTGGTATTGGTTGTTGATAAGTGATAATGAGATTTTTACCCTGCAACATGATTGCTTATCCTGAGTGTGGAAATATCAACATGGGTTTGGATTTTGTTTAAATTTGGAGATTGTTGAAAGCTCATTCATTATTCAGTTTAAAATATGTAAACAGCTGTAACCATGAGATAACAGATTATGCTTCTGGTTAAGATTCTGGAAATCACCCCTCTTATTTTTTTTATACTAGTTGTAGAACAGAGAGGCTTATACATATATTTTCTTTTTTTTCATTCAACATATTTAGGGAGTACAAGCGCAGTTTTGTTACATGGATATATTGCATAGCAGTGAGATCTAAGCTTTTAGTATTCTCATACCTAAATTGTGTACAATGTACCCAACAGGTAATTTTTCATTGCTCACCCTCCCCTCTCACCCTCACACCTTTGGTAAGCTTATATTTGAAAGAGAGAAAAAATTAGCAGGTTTTAAGTTTAGTATATTCAGAAGTAATTAACAGTAAGTACAATTGTGATTTCTTATTAACTCCTTTATTAGACATGTTTTATCACTGAAAGTATCTAATATAGTTTTTATAAATTTTCATATAAAATTATATTTCTGTTTAAGCAGTCAGACTTGGTAATAAAACAAATTGAGAACAAGTCTTTAACTTTGTATTTGAGCAGCAGAAAAACACAGCAGAAGTCTTTGATTCATTACAGAGTACTAAACAAAATGGAATTTATTTATACTTGAGATCATATATATGTACAAACATATATACATATGTGTGTGTGTATATATCTTCTTTTCTACTGTTTTTCTTTCATGGATAGATTAACAGTGATATTGTTAAGTTAAAGTATAGATGTGTTTCCAGTGTTTCCAGTATTGTCAGATTGGTTTCCAAAACAACTTTATTATTTTACATTTTCAAAAAAGTGCCCTTTGCTTACACCTTAACTAGCAATAAATAATTAATCAATCATCAATGTTAGATATATTTATTAAATTTCATTACCTGGATTATTTTGGTTTATTTTTTTCCCTTTCTAATTTCTTCAGTTGATTATTTGATTCTTTTGAATGTCATTGTGTTTATATTATAGCTTTGTTTTCAAAGCTATAATTTTTTTTAACAAGTACAGCTTTTGCTGTGGCCCATATGTTTAGTATAAATTGTTTTTCTTTTCATTGCTTTCCAGGTAGCTTCTAACTTCAGTTTTACATACCTCTTTGATACAAACTTGATCTATAAATGTATGTTTATATTTTCAAGTAAACAACTCTTTGATCAGCTTTTTTATAATCATTTTTTAAAATTCTAGTCACATCTGTCACTTGTTTCATGTGTATGTTGGGAGTATTCTGTGCTCTCGTTCTATGACTGCTTAGCATCTCTTAAACATCTGCTTAGTTTTCCTTTCTTGGCTCAGCTGGTGCAGTCTAGTTCCAGGTGGTGGAAAATCAAATCATCTCTACCCTTGTCAGCCAGCATTGTACTGGCAGGAAACTTCCAGTCTACTGATGAGGTATTGAAGGGAGGATTTTGCTTCCTGTGATCCTTGATGGTTTCCCAGCCTCAGGGACAGGGAGGACTAACCCTAAACATTTGATTCCTTTGTGGGTTTTCAGAGGTCCAGGAAACTTGGCATACTCACGTGAGGCTGATGGTGGTCATTGTCCACAGATATCTGCTCACCCATCCTATCCAAGACCCACTGAGATTTGGGTCTCGGATATAGTAATGTAAATTCTTACTTTGGAGAAAAAAACCTCACATCATTTTTCTCTGTCTAGGGACAATTAGAGCCAAAGGCCTCTCCCTAATATCTAGTTATGTCTATGCTCTCCTGCAGTTTGGCTGAGAAAAGAGAGATAATTTAATTACAGTCTAATTGAAAGTAGCATTAAAATAAACATAAATTTCTTAAAAACACACATAAAAGCCATGATTCAAGAGCATTAAATCTGAAAGCAGTTACACAACAAATTGAGGAGATAAAAAAATAAATCTGACATATATAATTCTTGAGTTTGAGTTATTAAAAAAGTGGATTTTTTCCCCTAATGGTGACAAAAAGTAAGCTCCAATAAGTACAAGCAAAATTATCTTTTTAATATAACTATTAGGAAATAGAAATCAGCATGTCAATTCATCTGCATTATAATTTTGTATAAGAAATGACCAGAATTGTGTATTTTGAATAACATGTCATTACTTCATGGTTAAATTACACAGAGTATAAGGTGTATTTCTTTCTTTATTTTTTTTAGGGGGAGGGGGGGATCAAGCAGAACTAAAGAGTCTAAGGCATATATCCAAAGGAAATAAAATCACTATTTCAAAGATATATCTGCACACTCATGTTAATGACAGCACTATTTATAATAGCCAAGATATGAAATCAACTTAAGTATGTATCAACAAATAAGTGGATTAAAACATGTAGTGTAACAGGATGGAACAGTATTCAGCCACATAAAGGATGAACTACTGTTATTTACAGCCACAAGGATGAGCCTGGAGGATGTTATGTGGAGTGAAATAAGCCAGGCACAGAAAGACAAATACCGCATATTCTCATTCATATGTGGAATCCAAAAAAGTTAATCTCATAGGAGTTAAGAGCAGAAGTGGTTACTAGAGGCTGGGGGAAAGGAGGATGGGAAGAAGTTGGTCAACATGCACAAAGTTACAGTTAGGAGGAAAACGTTCTGGTGTTACATTGCACATTAGGTTGACTATAGCTAAAAATGATACATTGTATATTTCAAAATAGCTAGAAAAGAGGATTTTGAATGTTCTCACCACATAGAAATGATACATATCTGAGGTGATGGATATGCTAGCATTACACATAATATATATATATATATCAAAACATCACGCTGTACCCATAAATATGTACAATTATGTGTCAATTAAAAATTTAAAAAAAATCAAAAATAATTAAACACAGTGATTAGCATTTAGCCTTCTAAATCAAGTTTCACTATAATTATGATAGCAACTGACTACATACACAGTCTACCCGAAAACAATATTTTTTTGCAATGTAAGAATTATTTATATCAAAGTATTTTCCACATCCTAAATGCTTTAGGATGCCAATTTTACTTAGATATATTTTTAGGTGCATTCACATGTCTGGAAAAGCTATTGTCTCCTTGCTTGACTGGTCCAAATCTTTATGAAACACACACCTCTTTTCTCAAAGAAGAAGGTATAGGAGAAATTCGCCCAACCTGTAATTCTTGGTGTTACTGTTTAGCCAGAAATTTATAATTCAAGTTTTTATGTATTTTTGAGTTAGTTGATATAAGAACTTAGTCAAAGAGTGAATGTTTATTTTCTGCTGTTTCTGTCCCTTGGATAAACACATAAGTTATATTCTTTTCATTCCTATATGTCCACTTCTGAATGGATGGGACAATTTGGACAATCTCAGTGACATGGTGTCTCAACTTTTATATTAAATTTGGTATTCTTATATGAATGCTTTACTTTTGAGTTGAGAAAAAGAAGGGTGTAAAAGTAGCGAAATACTAACATGAAACACTGGATATTACACTGGATGTAAGCTCACTATACAATCTGTGGCTTAGACACAGTAACTTTTTCTCCCTGGATAAACTTGTGGTGTGGTGTGTTATTCATTGAATATGAATATGCTTTTTGTTTAACAGAATTTCAGTTAAATTATTGTTAAACCATTTCCTCCTCAGGAAACAGATTCTTGATTTATGGAGTAATAACTTCCTTTTGTTCATCTAATAAAAAATTCAAGAGCCATGAACATCACTTAGTTTTCTACCTTTGTTTAGAGAAAATGCAATTGCCTGATTCCTGTGGAGAACATGCAAATTGCAATGCCTGTTTGCCCTGCATCTGGGGCAAAGGGAAACCATTTTGATGCCTTTTGTAGAAGAAGCACTATCTCATTTTATGCACAATGTTGCCCACTGCCTCAACCAGCATTGGGTAGTTTTAAAATGGCCTAAATGTAGGCTGGCCAGTGGCTTTCTCTTGAGGTGGTCAAGCATGAGGGTTTCTGCCTAATAGAGAAACAAAGGCAGAGGTAGTTCCCTTATGTATCAAATCATTCCCTCTCTTTGGCATTTTTACCGAAGAAGATGGAGAGCAGTGATCCAACAGAAGTGGAAGAAAGTCAACACAATGGCTCCAGGGTGTCCTGAGTGGAAAGTAGAGAGTAGCTGGTTTCTAGCACTGCCATGAATCCTTTTGCTTCTACATATATTTAGGTCATATTCACACACACACAAATAATTTGAGTGAATCACAATTACCTTCAGTGAGAAGGGCTTGATACAATCCCCAAACAAATGCCATTTTTTATTGCAAGGTTATACAGTATAGTTCGTCCCGATTGACCTGGAACAAGGCCTGTGGCAAAAGGATTGTATTTGTGTTTACAAACTTACTTGTAAAAGACTTCTTCCTGAGAAATTAGATAATTGCTTATTTGGGGGGCCAAGATAGTAATAAGTCATTTAAAAATATCTTTGGAATTTGCAGAAGCAAAGAAAAAAAATGACAGTCCCCCAACGGGCAAAATGAGTAAGTCTGATGACATCATTTGGTAGTGAGAAATTGAGGAAATGGGAACTCATCAGAGGGTACCTGGGTGACACTTGGTAAATGTGAAGATGTGCCTCACATAAACACACATAAACACTCCTCAGCAGGTGTTTACTTAGGAAATCCTTGCAGATGTTGCAAAGACACTCATATAAAAATGTGTATTGCAGCAATGTTTATAATATGAAAGATATCTCATTCATACTTTGAATGTAATGAATAAAAGTGAATGAAAAAACTGGAAGCATCCTAAATAGTTCATTTCCACATTTCTGTAAGCCTCATTGCAGATCTCAGGGACAGTTACTACCATCATCCCATTACACAGACGAGGACACTGAATCAGAGAGGTTACAAACTTTGCCCAAAGAGAGTAAAGAAGAGAGGCAGGATTCACACCCTGGAAGCTTGGCTTTAGAGTGCTTACTCTATGTTAATTATTTCTGTAACTTTCTTTCTTAAGATTGCATGGACATGTGGAGTGTGATAGAGCTAATGCTCAGTAGTCTTAGCATATGGGAGTAGTGACTACCCTGGGGTTGGTAAGTGCTCAGTGATATTTGTTGAATCGATATTTGGGTGCCGGGGGCAAGTAAATGAGAAATTACTAAATGTCCAGGAACCAACCATCAAAACGAGGCAGCACTGGAATGAGTGGGACAGTCCTTGCAGCTCCACGGAGCCTACAACAAAGAGTTTAGAAACTTAAATGACTCCAGGTTGAATAAGGACGTTAGTACACATACCTGTTAGACTGGGGCATAGTCAACTTAATGTGGCAGTTGTAGATAAGCTACTTTAAAGTAGTTAATGCTAGTAGTGAGGCATTTGGAGCTGGAGATAAGACTAATTCTCCTCAAAACAGTGTGGAAGTGAGCAGGGACTTGGAGCTTCAGAAGTCAGAGAGCAAAGGTGAGACCAGACTCCTCAAGACAGGCCCATCCCAGGCATAACTGACTCCCAGGCAGTGGGTCCCAGAAGGGAAAAGTTTATGCATGTTTTCCTTAAAAATGTAGTCACCATATTTAGAGAACCCTTCTGATAGCTAATCTAAATCTGTCTCTAAAATTTAGTCTCACACATTCTTTTCATTACATTGTTAAGATAACAAGAATAATTCCCAGCGGACTTCCATTTCTCCTTTATGGATACTTCATTTTATTTTGTACTTGAAAACTGTTAATAAATCACTCTCTAGATAAGTACAATTCAGTGCTAAGGCACTTAGCTTATCTGACCTTCACATTAATTATTTTTATTATATGAGTAGGAACTTTTAACGTCCCTTTTCCTCTTCCTTATAAAGCCACATGGCCCCAAGTAGACACAGATCTCTCACAGTGCTTAAGGGCAAGCTCCTTAAACATGTAGATCTCTTAAAAGTTCTCTCTCAAGTATGCTGATCTGAACTTCAGGTTTCCTCGCTAGATTTAAGGGGACTTGAATCTACTTGAGCATGAGTGTTTTGAGATGGCTCTAAAATTCTTGCAAAAACTGAAAGTGAAATGAGGAAGACAGATTGAGCAATCCTTTAGAAGAGCAAGCACCCATAAACCTACTGTACAGTTAGGGCAGAGATGCAGAAAGGCAGAAAGAAGAAAATTCAGGAGAACTCTCCTGAGGGGTGAGCCCAGCTCTGCACTGTAGTAAATGCAGGACACCAACAAACACAGATAACAGGAAATGATCCATTCCCTGTGGTCACTGATTCTAAAGGCCCCAACCTTCAAAGCTCAAGGAGTGAAGTGGATGATTCCACGGAGAGGGAGCAGTCACGCCTTTCTTCTAGCCTCAAAAAAAGAGAAGAAATGAAACCGAAGGAGTGTGTTTCCATCCTCCCGCAGAAGGAAAGCCCGTCTGTGCGAGTCTCCGCAGACAGACAGCTGCTGGCTGCAACCCTGCTGCTGGCACTGCTGTCCTGCTGCCTGGCGGTGGTGTCTTTCTACCAGGTAGCCACCCTGCAAGCGGACCTGGTGAGCCTCCGGGAAGAACTGCAGGGCCACCAAGCTGAGCAGCTGCCAGCCCCTCCTGAGGAAGCTGTAGGAGTCCCCATGGCAGCCCTGGGGGAAGCTCCAGCTGTCACCCCAGGACTGAAAGTGAGTTTGCAGCAGCTGCAGCCTCAGGCACAATTCTGCCTACACAGCTGCCTCCGCCACCCTCAGCTGTCTTTTCCAATAACTTGGGGTTTTCTGTTCACAGGAGATCTTTGCACCACCAGCTCCAGGAGAAAGCAACTCCGGCTGGAGCCGCAGGAGTAAGCGTGCCCTTCAGGGGTCAGAAGAAACAGGTAAGTTTTGGATACAGAAGCTTTTCAGAGTCAGGGGTTACAGTGTTCACAGGTGTGGAGAATAACGTCCTGTTTGGGGGAGTAGAGGTGAGCATTACCTCTATGAATCTCTTAAATAGAGACTACGAAAGTTGTCATTTAAACCAGACGTGGCTTTGTAGCAAAGCCCCAGCACTGGCAAATTCAATAGGATGCACAGTGTGCTTTGCCCTCCAATGAGCGGATGTGTGGGTAGAAGTTTCTATCTGTGCATGAATATTTGTTCATTAAGCATACAGGAGAAAAAAGGGGCATGTGTTTTTTCTCAAACAGTGTATTCCTATTTGAGAAGCATTACCCATCATTCCAGAAAAAACACAAAAGCACTCCACGCTACTGTAGAATTAGACTTTGTTTACCTGGGTTGTATCACGTCAGTTAAAGACAGATATTTCCCGAGGGTGGGCATTGTGTGCCGTGAAATCAAGTAAAGATCATGATGGAAATCCTTATATGTTATGCTTTAATTTTGTTTCTTTTAAAAGAAGATTATTTTACACACCCACTTACACCCCCCCACACACACACACACACACTCACACACACTGATTTTAAGGCTTTCCTTTAATATATACTTTTCCAGGAGATCCATGTGTTTATAATCTTCTTGTAAATTCTTTGGCAATTTCTACCTTTCTTCACGCTCTACTCGTTCCATAGAATGTTAGAGTTAGTAGGTCCTACCAAAATAATCTAGTCTAAGTCTTTCATTTCAAAGATGTAAAAACAATATTTGTATTACATTTATTAACATTATAATATAACAAATCCTTGGTATTATTTTCCTTTCTTATTGAAAGAACGTTATTTGAGCGCCTGGAATATACCAGGTGGGTATAGAAAAGAATAGGTATTTTCACACATACTATTTCGTTTAACCTTCACAGTGACTCTGTGAGGTCCACAGAACACATGTAATTATTTATGTACCTGTATGAGAGACACCGTGAGAGACAGACAAGGTGCCCTTCCATTACACACGGGCACACACACACGTACACATGCAAGGTGCCCTAGCTATAAACTTATGTTTTTGCTCTATGCCATATTCATGGAAAAAATTCTTCCTTATTTTATAAAACCATAGTTTTTGGTATCTAGTTAATATATCTTTGTGCCAGTTATCAAAAACAATTGAATTTGAACATTTTAAAATTAGGAAATAGTTATATTTTTATTACTTTAACACTTGTCAGTTATTTTTGTAGTTTGTATTTTATCATCTACATTTTATACATAATTGAAAATAATACAGCATATATACTATGGTATATTTTTCATTTTCACCTATCAAGCAATAAACGTTTTTTCTATTTCTAAGTAATTCTCATATATCAGCATTTATTTGCTACCATCCAACTATTTAACATGGTTCTTTCCCTTTTGTGTTTTTTTGGCTATAATACAGCATGTTAAATTTTTGTGCAGAACTCTTGTTTCTGAGGCATTTTTTATTCAATATAAAGTTGACAGTGAAATTTCTGAGCTAAAGAGAATGAACATCTTTAACACTCTTGCTCCCTATTGCCATATTGTTTTCAATATGAGTTACAAATGTATGCAGTCAAAAATGCAATGTACCAGTTCTCCACATTCTTACCGTTTATCCTTTAAAATTTATTTTGGCCAGTTAAGTAGTTGTAAAACAATATCTTATATTAATATTTTGCCTGTTTTACTAAATAGAATGAACTTCTTTTTGCACAGTTTGATTACTTCTATGCTTATCTTATGCTAATTTTTATTTATAACTTTCCTCATTTTTCTTCACTGATTTTTTTTATAACTTTGAACAAACTCTTTCTAATTAGCCGTGTTTATCAAAATTTTGATGCAAATATTTTCAGTGTTGTGCTGCTTTTCTTGTGCAGAGATTTTGTGTCTGTATATATTGCAATAATCTTTTCCTTTTGATATTCTCTAATAAATTAAAACTAAAAATATATTTTTTCATGATTTCTTAAGTAGTCTACTCTATTCCCTGCTACTTTGGCTTTTTCATAGGTTAGTGGGTTTTTTTGCTTTTAACTCATTAATTCTTCTGGTGTTTATTTTGGTGAATCTTCTCTTATTGGCTTTAACTTCCCCCTTCCTCTCTCTTTTTTTTCACCTTCCAAACTGCTATCTCAACCAAACGTATTCAATAATTCTTGTTAACTTCTTTGTTTTGGGAAGTTTACTGCACATTATGTTAAGTTCCTCATATAAGCTGCATTTATTTGAAGCTCTCTGGTTTTTTCATTGATTTATTATTCTATTTATCCATTTTAAAACCCCTATTTTAAGTATTTTTGTGTTATAATGGGCTTCAATATCTAGTAGGGTCTGGAATCCTCAAACATTTTTAACCTCCTCAGTAGTATTCCTATTTCTAAATGTTAGTTTTAAAGATAAAACTTTACCATTCTAAAGAATATATAGACTCATTACAGCAGATTTGAGAAGAATAATAAAGGTAAGAAATACAAATTTTCTTGAGTCACAGTTTCCCAAAATATTTTTTATTAATGTTTTTACTTACTTGTACTTTTATGGCTTCCAAAAATTGTATACTAATGAAAATGTTTCACCAAATATTTTGCAACTTGTAGAAAGTTTGGAAAATAACAGAAAACTCTAACAAGGTGAATTAAAATTTACCCAGAATTCCACAGTTTAGAGATAATCACTATAAATCACTATTTTCATTTCATGTTTTGGCTTAGACATTTTTTTACAAACCTGTAATATAGTGTGTGTGTGTGTGTGTGTGTGTGTATGTTTAGGGGTGTGTGTATGTGGTGTGTGTGTGTGTGTATATATATGTATATGGCACATAGTTGAGCCTTGAACAACATGAGTTTGAACAGTGATAATCTTTTCCTTATAATATTATCTAATATTCTAACTAATATATCAGAAAAATTTTTTGAGATTTGTGACAATTTGAAAAAACCCAAACTATATGACTTAGAAATAACAAAAAAATTTTAGAAAAAGTTATGTATGTCATAAATTCATAAAATATATGTAGATATTAGCCTATTTGATTATTTGCTATTATAAAATATACACAAATCTATTGTAAAAAGTTTAAATTTTTCATAATGTACTCATACAACACTTAAAGACTGCACACAGCCCGGTTGAAAGAATTATAAACAAACATGAAGATGCAGTATTAAATCATAACTGCAAAAATTTTACTGTAGTACATACTGTACTACTGAAATAATTTTATAGACAGCCCCTGTTTCTATTGTAGTGAGCTCAAATATTGTATCTGCTTAAAGCTGTGTGACGCTAATCATCTGTACATGAGTCATCTCTCCAGTAAATTGTATAACGCAGTAAAAAGTGATGTCTCATGATTCTTGAGTATTTTTCATCTAGTTCAGTGCAATATTATAAACCTTGAGCAATACCATGAGACCCATATGAAGTGCCACTAGTGACACTGGAAGTATGCTCAAGAAGCAAAGCCATGACATTACAGGTGACCCTTGCACAACACAAGTTTGAGCTATGTGGATCCACTTATATGTGGATTTTCTTCCACCTCTCCCACTCCTGACACAGCAAGACCAGCCCCTTTTCTTCTTCCTCTTCATCAGCCTGCCTAATGTGAAGACGACAAGAAGGAAGACCTTTATGATGATCCACTTCTATTTACTAATAGTCAATGTATTTTCTTTTCTTTATGATTTTTAAATAACATTTTATTTTCTCTGGGCTGCTTTATTGTAAGACTACAGTATATACTATATCGGACATACAAAATATGTGTTAACTGTTTTTGGTGAGGCTTCTGGTCAACAGTGGGCTGTTAGTAGCTAACTTTCTGGAGTGTCAAAACTTATGCATACATTTTGACTGTGTGGGGTCAGTGTAGGGGTACCCCTAATACCTGCATTCTTTAAGGGTCAGTTGCATATGTTTATACATAGTGTGTGTGTATAACATAATATGTATATATATTGATCATATTCATAAATCCAAGATGGAAGATTTGAAGATAAGAATCTTAGTGGCAGGTAATATCCACTTTTCCTTGTCAGTGAAATTATTTTGAATGTTGTTCTAGACACTTTTCATTAGTAGACAGAAAATTTATTTTGTTTAGCACTACTCAAAATTAATATATATGTACTCAAGGAAGTTGTGTAAAACTCAATGAGTTTTTTAGGAAGATCATCTTTTGGAATCGAGAAAATTCTATGAAGCTTAAATTTATGCAGTTTTCTTTGATTTTTGTTTACAATCTAGTCATTCTGATTTATTTTCAGTAAGACTCAAAAACCTTAGGTTGCCTTTTTTATTTTCAAAGTGTTAATTTATGTTCTCACTTATTAATTGTCTACGTATGTTTTAGAACCATATATTCTGTTGGCACTTCACATGGACAGCAGATGAAGGGAGGGCATTACCGTCAGCCCATATGCCCACTCCATACTCTTGTCCTTCCTGTCATCCCAAGGGTAAACACTGCTTTTACTTGATTTTACCATTTAGTACTTCGGCTCCAGTTTTGTTTTTCTTAATTATTTTGTGTTTCAGATTAAACTCTTATTAAACTTGAAGTATTTCCTAAGATCATGATTAAAGTATAATAAACAGAAATGTGGGGAAATCCAGGATTACCAAATTGCCAAATAGCTCATATTGGCCAAAAATTCACTTTTAAGCTCATAAGTGTGTTTGAAAATATTCCCAATAAAAACAATTACTAAAGCACTATGGCTTTGAAAATATTACATAATAAAATTTCTTTACAAATGGAATCATGATGATCTACATTTTCAACACTCACCCAACCATAATTTTGTTCATAATAAGAACCTAAAGATAAGCATCTTTAGAGCCTATCAAGAAAGTGAATTCTTTCATGTGGGTTACTACTGATTACTGTTAAAATCAAGTCACCTTTGTATTTCCTCCTTTGTTTTGAGTAGAGAATTTAAAAGCTATTAGAAATTTCTGTG